CCGATAAGGATAGGTAACTACTACAAATTTCTTTATAGCACTTTTGATTTGTTTAGATAATATCTTGCAATAAAGGTGCAGAAGGAATTAAACGTAAAAAAACAGAAGATCTACCAATAAAATGTAAGTATTTTTATTGTATTAACATATCATCATATTATTCATATATTTTGAATATCAGATATCACGTAATTAATTATTGTATTTTTTTAGATTCAAAACTCAACCTGAATATTCAATCTACTCTTAATAAGTTGGTTGAAGAGCAATTGGAACAACGCACAGTTATCAATACTTTACAAAAGGAAATAAAATGTGAAATTTTAGAAAATCGTATGATTTTACAAAATATTCTTAAGATTTTAACGGCGGGACATTAACCTTGAAAACTGACCAAACACAAGAAGAAAAATCCAAGCAACATTTGAAAAGGAAAGATATTAAGAATATGTGGTTAGATGTAAATATAGCTGTTTATTTTGATAAAATAATCTGTATTCACATCTAAACAAAATGTATTATTAACTTTTTTTTATATTAGGCACCAATGACAAAGGCATATCACAAACTATTTCAAGAAAATAAAAACCCATCAGATTCTGAAATTGAACAAGCCTTTAAATTACAAATTCATAACGACTATCTTCAAAAGATGCAAGAGCTTATCAATTCAAATGGATGGGATGATTTATGGAATGCTGCATATTCCGTTGTAAGTTTTTATTGTATTTATAATTTATAAATAAAAAATAAATTGTATTAATACATTCTTACATATCTTTTAATAAACAGACATTAGAATACTTTCGTAATTATAGGGCATCATATATTCGCAAAATAAAAGATTTCATTTATATCTTTTTAAATTTATTTTCTTAAAAGCTCAAAAAGTCTGCTAGTCCTGAGGAAGTCAGACATTGGAAAGAGTCAGAAAAGGTTAAACAAGTAAGGAATAATCTCTTAAATAGAATGAACAAGGATAACTCAAATTCACCAAGCTATTTTACAAAAAACATTTAATAAAGAAGAACTTCAAAATAGTAATAACATTATATTCAGAGTCACAGTTATCTTGATGTTTTTAGATCCAACGTATGACCAAGCTGAAATTTCATCCTCAAAGGTATATGAGCGCATGAACAAATGGGAATCTGATCCAATTGTGCAAAAATGGGTAAGTAGCGTAACGTAACTAATATTTAATTAGTCTTAGCGATTTTTGACTTATTAGTAATTCTAACACATATTTATTTTAGCTTG